CTCTGTCCGTCCGGTCGGTCCGCCTGCTGGCTGGGCTGGCTGGGCTGCCTGGCGTCCTCTCCGCTCCCCGGCGCCTGCCTTGCCTTGCCTTGCCTGGCTTCCTTGCTTCCTTGCTTGCCTTGCCTTGCCTTGCCTTCCCTTTCCTGGGCTCGCTCGGCTCAGGCAGGCAAAAATCGATGGGGTTCGCCTTCGCCGCCGCCGCGCCGGGGCTTCCCCATTGATTTCCCCTCGTCCGCCTCGCAAGCCTGCCTGGCTCTCCCTCGCCTCGCGCGCCGCCGCCGCCGCGGACCTGGCGGCCGCCTGCCTGCCTGCCTGCCTGCCTGCCTTCCCACACAATGGAATAATCAATTCAGGCCGCCGCCGCCGCCGCCGCCGCCTCTCTTCGCCTTCACCCCCCCACACACACACACTCCCTCCCTCGGCACACTCACAATCACACACACTCACACACACAAACACCAGCACCAGCCAGGAAGGAGGAGCGCCAGGCTGGGCAGGTGCAGCCAGGCAGGCTGGGAAATGTAGTCCCGGGGAGGCCGGCCGGCGACAGAGCTAGCAAGGGCATCATCCTACCTCTCCCCCCCCCATCACCATTAGAAGTGCCCTTCCTCCTGGGTGCTGCCTGTGCAGGGGGGGCAGAACCCCCAAGCTCAGATCTTTAAAAAAAAAGGAGTCAGCTCCTAAATATCTGTGCATAAGGTGGCGCGTTTGCAAAAATACAGATGTTTGCGGTGCAGGGAACAAGGGAGCAGTTGTGGGCAATTGTTTTCCGTATTTTCAAAAATAACAGGCACACTCAATCAACATGATAAACACACGGACGGGTGCAATGTTAAGAGTGACAAGTTTTCACCAAAAACCTAAGTATCTGTTAAATACAGACATAGTATCAAGTCTGTTCCTGATACTTTTTTTGTAGCTCTTATGTTGTTGTTTCTGACATTTATTATTATATTGTTTCTCACCATCTTGAGAAAACCATGCCAACTGAGCTCGTGGAACTGCTGGCCATAAAATCTAGTGGCTTTTAGAAGAGCTTATGGCAAGAGGAAGGAGGGCTACTTTGTTTGCATTCTGCTTAAAAATATTGTGAATGCGTATTTTGGAACAAGAACGAACTGCTGGATAGCTCAGTGGTTTGGGCATCTCCAGAGGTTGGGAGTTCGATTCCCCACTGGGCCTCCCTGACAAAGATTGATGACAAGAGTGATGATGATGTGCTCTTGCCTCATTTCCAGCACAGAGAGAAGCTGTTTCGGAAAGATGTTCCAGAGTCCCTTTGATTCTTAAACCACATCCCATGCTTACGGCTGAAAAAATATCAGATCAGATGCACGGAGTCCAGTCCAATAAGAGGTTCTGCGTTCGTACCGCGGAAATGAACGAGAGCGGTGGAATCGGACTGCCATGGGAGCTCAGCGCCTTTTCTTACTGGACAAGACTGAGTCCATGACCAGGCATTGTGACTCCGAAGCACCCAAGCACCTTGTCAATTAGGCGCAATTAACCACAACGACTTAAACAGATGTCAGGTGACTCTCAGAAGGATTCTGGCCAACAGAGCAGAATCAATGTGATTCATGTTATCACAGGGATGTTATCACAGTCTGTGGGGTGCTTCTCAGCCCATCCGCGGATCATGGCCTGCCGAGGCTGGACACCTGGAGAATTCTCTGTGCGACAGATGAAAAGACAACTTTTTCAGACTTTGGGTGGATGGCATCAGAGCCACTCACAAGACACCAAGATACCCTGAATATACAAATGAAAAGTGACCTGTGGATTACTAAAATTCTGAACTTCTAACCCCAAAACACACAGCCAATGAATGTCCCTATTCTCCATGGAAAAACGGTTGAGAAACTTCACTGTGCCAGACGTCCGCTATGAGCCCAAGAGCAGATTCAAGAAAGAGGCTTGGCAACCCTTCTCTTACCTTCTCCTTTCCATGTATCTTGTTATTTTATCCTGGCAATTCCGGCTCCTTCCCTGCGCTCCTAAGAAGATCCAAGTAGTTGGCACTATACCTTCCCGTGACCAGTTTTCTTGTTACTGTTGTTTACTTCCTCCAAACGGCAATATAATTAACATCATCAACACAATTATTTAGGGCTGCAACTCAATTAAAGACATTTTAGTGGATACATCAGGTGAGTTTTAGTCGATGCAGCAAATAATTTATTGATTAAATTAGCACAGGTTTTCACAGAGGTAAACAATTGGGTTGAATTCAGATTTAACCGCCTTTGGAACAGACCCACTGAAATGGATACCAGTTTGGAAATATTTATTTATTTATTTGTTCGATTTAGTACCAGTTTGAAAATATTTATTTATTTTTTCGATTTATATCCCGCCCATCTGGTATATTCTACCACTAAATAGACATGTAAGTCTGCCTTAGTACCTTGGCAAAAATGATGGAAAGCAAAAAAATAAATAAATAATGGTGCTTTAAATACAAACAAAATTATTTTATCCACTTTTTCAGACACAGGTGTGGAAGTACATGCCCACTATATTTACTCCCTCATGATGAGACTGATGTCCAGGTGGCCATAAAAATAATACACAAAGTGTTAACGCAAGACTCGGGCTACCAAGCTGTTCTTTAGCACGTCCTAGTCAGGCTGATAAGATGGCTATTGTAGAACAAAAGGGAGGGGAGAGAAAGAGGAAAAATGCAGAAATAGGATACATAAGCAAGTTCTAGCGCACCTCTAAGGGCCTAAATAGAGATCGAGGCTTTTTAACACACTGCATATACTGTATAAACAGTGCAGCTTTCCACAATATCTTATGGGTATAAAATAGCAGTCTCCCCTGACCTCCATCCCATAAACGACTCTTACAATTCCTGTGACATACAAGTCCACTGGAGGCAACCCTTATGACCCTGGCTAGGATCTGCTAATTAAGAGCTTGATATTCCCATTGCTGTTAATGAAATAATGTCACTCTTTGTATCCTCACAAGAACAGGAGTCTTGCCACCGTTTAGGGGATAAATATCGAAGACATGTATTTTCACTGCTTGTGTCTCAAGACGTGGATTTTGATCCACTAAAGGTCACGTTGAAATGAATCTTCGAAGGGTCAGAATATTTTCACTTTTATTTTCTTCTTCCTTTGACTGAAATTTATGAACACGGCCGTAACTGCGACTAACTTAAAAATACCTCCTGCCCCCTTTTGACTTCAGTGGGTCCATCCTAAATTTGAAGCGTCAACTGCAACCTGGTATCCCTGAAATCACATCCTCGTTTTCGGATCCAGAAGAGAGCTGCGTCTTCTCAGAAGAGGCATTCCCAGCCTTTGCAAAAGAAGAAGAGAGGAATGCTTCCCTCAAGAAAGAGGGTGTTGAATATTTCCAGTGCATGTAAGATACAAAACATTACGGTTTAGGGTTGCATTACAAAATCCTGGCCAGTTGAATTCGGGACTCCTTGTTCTAAACATGTCGATCTGAATTGGACCCATCGACCAATTAAACGTTGCATCTTCTCCCACATCAGTGCTGTTAGCTGCAGTAATAATACATAAGATTTCCAATGAACAATCTAGATTTCAAGTTTGACTTTTGGGGGTGTGGTGGGGCAGCCATTTAATAGGAACATGAAGTTGGAAGGGGGGGCCTCGAAGACCATCACGTTCAACCCCCCCGGTTCAAGGCAGGAATCCAAACGAGGGTCCCCCAATTTCCTCTTGGAGGCCTTGGATCGCTCACCACTTCTCGAGGTCATAGGTCAGGGGTCCTGTTCTCGTACTGCTCTAACGGTGGGAAAATTCCCCCCCCAACATTAATTCTCAGAGGTACCATATACAACTTAAAACCAATATGGAACAATAATAAAATCCACCGCCATTTTTTAAAAAAATGAAATAAAATCCCAGAAATTGTTTTAGTATCCAAAGGAATCCCATGTATCCTAGACTCATTCCAGTGTGTGTGTGTGCCCCCCCAAGGGGTAATAAATGCACACACACACACACACACGCAAACACACACAGATATCCTCCTCCTAGTCCTTTCCAGAGAACCCAGGCGTCCTGGCTCCTGGCTTGGAAGGGGTTAAGCCTGCATTTTCTCCCCCCCCCATCCCCCTGCTGTTCTTAATTGCAGCTTTCCGGTTGCTGTGGCAACCGTGAGCGAGGGAGCGAGACAGTCGCAGGGGGAGAGGAATAAAAAATAGAACATGGC